TTTCTACAACTATAGGGTATATTATACTACAATACACTACACTGTAGTAAAAACTAAAGTATACTACAGTATTTATTATAGCTTATCAGTTCACTATAGTTAATACTACATTATGCTGTAGCATTCATTAACAAAGTGTTGTAAATACTAAAATATATACAGTATAATACACTTTACTATAGTATGGTTCAAAAACACTATAGTATTTACTATAAATTACTATGTATTTTTTTCATGTGGGTTGTCTTTGTTGAATAATACAGAACATAAAGAGCTTTAAAAAATAATTCCATATTAAATCACAATTGCAATATTGGTAAAAAAAAAATCGCAATTCGATTATTTTCCAAAATCGTTCAGCCCTAATTGCATGTATGAATTAGGCTACCTATTTGCTTGTGCATGAGCAGCTCCGTTTCCTCTCTGGAGACGTGTACAGTCTTTGCTCTTGCAAATGAAATAAACAGCAAATCCGCCGTAGCGTGAGCGCAACTGGCTCTTAAAGGGAATGGGAGATGAGACTGGTTGTTTCATTGCAGATTATGCCCAAAGCACACCTATTACTCATTAAAGGGGTCATAGGATGCCCATTTTCCACACTCGATGATGATTGGTTGATATCAGAAGGGAGGCTAGCCTCTCTTATGAGGGTTCTTTTCTCAACACTCCTCTGCGCTGAAAGTGAACACTCGATGGTGATTGGCTAATTTTTTTTACCAACGGAGGCACGAGAGCTTCTCTATCTTCTCCTTCTCTATCATTAGCGGTTGTAATTACATCAGCAGATTCGGCACATTCGCGATAGAAAAGCGGCACTTTCACGTTACGGTATTACAACTGTGAAATTACAAACAAAAAATACACATTCTGAGACATGAATTGTGAATTTTATTTTCACATTTTCATACCATTTTCACCTCAAAATTATGGGGAAGCTGTGCCTCCCCTGCCTCCCCCGACGAGCCGCCACTGTTAGCGGGTGGATTGGTTCAATACGTGCAAGAACTCATGTGAAGGCCAACCACCTTCAGTGGCCCTGTGTTACAAAAATACAGCAATTGCTGTAATGTAAATGAATTACAGTGGATTATGACATCTATAGATATTACTACTGATAACGTGCCCAGTGATAAGTGATATGCAGGCTGATTTTTGTCTTTTTATGGAGTACTGGACATTTGTGATATATTTTGAATATATAACAGCATAAATATGTGATAAGATGAAGTCAGTCTTTATTATAGATAGCCATAATGACAGAAACATAATTGCAAAACAGATGCTGATACAGATGAGCATGGAGTCTCTCGCTAAGAAAGAACTGAAGGCCAAGAGTTCATCTGCATGATTTAAGAAGATAACAGATCTTCCTATCGTGCATAAATTAACAGATTGATCGCCTCAAGAGGGTGATAACGATGAACTAAGTTGCACTGAAGGGTTAGTGAGTTCAGGAGAATTAGGCTCTAATTTCATGACCTTTGTCTTTATGTACTTTGTTCTGTCTGTTTGCAGTGAAAATGGTTTCTACATCCCATGCAGCTGAATGAGTTTGAGGCAAAAGTGCTAGAAGACAGTACCCTGTTCCTGTACTAGATTAAGCACTAAAGGAATATAGAGAGAATGCTTGATGAAATTTGATAAAGCAAGACAAATGAATCAAAAGTGCTGGTCAATCAGGATGTGGTTTTGCCTACATGTGCACAGTTTTTAAATGTAAGCATGCACTAAATTGACATACTTGACTCCTTACTTAAATCCTCTATTGCAGCATTATTTGTACTTAGTGCAAGTAGTATTAATTGCTGTTGGTACTTACTCTGCCTATTTGTTGTCTTTTTCTTAAACCCTCGTGAGGGTGAAATGTTTTTTTCTTTTCTTTTTTTTTACTGTGAAACTCAAAAGAAACAGTGAAATTTTCCTTTCCTTCCTGAATCTCACTTTCAAAAACTTTGATTCTTACATTTTTATAAGTTCTCATGTATTATATATTTTAGTGTTGGATTGGTTACAATAAATATTTCCCTTTTTTTTTTTACCTGACTATTTAGTGTTTTTCAGAATGTAAATTTTTTTAGCAAACTGTACGAAAACCAATGGGAGTCAGTTGTACCCTGAGACAAAAGTTGTAACAATGTGTACAGTCTTTCTAAATCTTTCTAAGTAATATAACAAAAATGATTTTTCAATGCTATCTCATGACCAATTCATATGTATTTTACAAGGTGGCTAATTTAGTACGAATTCGTACAACCTCACTTATATGATTTGACCTCACTGTGAGGGATAGGTTTAGGGGTGGGGTTAGGTGGTCATTTGCACGAATTTCTACGAATTTGCCACCTCGTAAAAAAATTATGATTTTAACAAAACGTACGAATTCATATTAATGAGGTCGTACAAATTAGCCCCCTCATCAAAAATGTATGAATTGCCGAGAGATTGGGCTTGTTTTTTTTTTTAGGTTGGCTAGTTGAGCCAATAGTTTTATTTGCCCTGTCAACTCACTGGCATCACCCCAAAATATATATATATTTTTTTATTTTAAGCAAGGCATTTTTATAATTGGTAGAAATATTAATATTTTTAATAGCAGCACTGGCCCAAAAGGGAAAGTTTTTTTTTTTTTAACTGTCTCACATTGATCCTGGGCCAGCAGACCATCCTTATAGCCTTTAATTTATTTAAATATGTTATACCAATTTCCCGCAAATAAAAAAACATCTCTGTTTATCATAGGAAATATTCCTACAAATAAACAGCATGTACTAGCATACTACGAGAGAAAAAAATACACACTCAACATGTAAGAATCTTTGCAGCAACAAATGCCTCCTGAACTACACCACTTTGGGTTAAGCCCAGATGATGAACAATGGCATTCTCATTAAACCCAAAACTGCTGTTTGGCAGGGGTCCCTTTATGACACACTAATTATTTCAATCATAGAGGAACTAGTCTGTAGCTCCAGGAATTTTAAGGCTGACCTTCAAGGTCATGATTGCAGTCAGAAGCCCTTCTCATTTGGACGCCCAATTAGTTGACCATTACAAGACAACTGAGTCCATTTTCTTCTGTCAGAATTGAGTATCAAAGTTATCACGTAAGTCAGCAGCAGAAATAATAAAAAAAGCAACTTTTGCCACTCAAAAAGCAACATCAAAGAGAAACAAATTACAGTGTGAAGGTGTGCTTGGCAGGAGTGATGTATTTTGTTCCTGCTTTGGATGGCTGTGCAGCTCCACAAGAGGCATTAGATTAATTAACACTGACTTACAATACAAAGCACTTTGAACTGAGAGAGTGCTCGAACCACAGCCAGATTGACGTGAAACTTTGTGCCCACTCCTCTAATCAGTCATTAGAATACCAACAGCCAATGGTGAGTTTCCTCTGGAGAGCAGCCAAGAACAAAAGAGTCACAATCATAGCCAAGGTTGCTAAAATTCTTATAATGTCCAAGTATTCTTGTAGCAATCATGAATGACTTTTCCCAGAACAGTCAAAAAAAATATATATTAAAAATTAAATGTTTTAATGATATGTTCAAATACACTAATATAGTTAATTTTGGCATTAATTGTAAGCTTTAACTTTAAATAAAACATCAGACTTGCAGAGGTGGGCATGCTGTCATTAAACTTACTTCTAATGCAAAATGATAATGTACGTATAGTCTGTACATTTAGAGTCTGATTCGCACCATAAACTGCAAATCTACTCTTATGTTCTATGTTTGGGGGAACATGCTGTTAAATGCAGTTTCCCTTATTTTCTTTACACCAAAATAATGACCTTTTAAAATTCTAAATTCTTTTTCAACTACTTCGAAAATTTGCATCAAGATTCTCACGATTTTACCTACATAACACAAAATACAGATTGTTGAAGTGGCATGTTATTTCATGCATTATGAAGTATTACACCTAATAACCCCCCTGAGTCATCCTTTAGCAACTGCGAGTACACCTGCAGTGTATTTCCATTGCATCACTACATTCTCACCTCTGCCGCAAGCATTAACCCTTAGCTATGTGAGGGCACATCAAGATACCGCACTTAGTGCAAGCACTTCCCTGCACTCAGGCATATTATAATGTGTTTGCAGGGTCCTGGGGGCAGCAAGTGAGGGTCAAATAAAGCTTCAACTAGTTTTAAATAGTGTAGGAACACTCAAGAAGGAGCAAACAATGGGTATGGAGAGGAAGTATTTAGCAAACTCTGAAATGGATAAACTAGACCCTGTCTAAAGTTCACACTATTTCAAATTACTACAAATTATGTCCATCAGTTTGACATATTCTTTTGAAATTCAATTCAAAATGTCTAAAGTGCAATGTATATATTACTGCAAGTTGTAGGCTACTGTATGTTTGTTTGGCACCACTGATTTTCCTCAAAATGTTAAGGCAACATTTAAACGTTACGTTTTATCCCAATTTTAGGCAGTTTAAATTATTATAGGTGATAAAAAAGTGGGAAGACAGAAGATTTTAAAGGATAACACGGGATAAATATGACGATGGGGGACATATCATATGTGCTCACAGTATTGCATTACTATTTTAATCAATAAATCTAGATAAAAGAGTACCTTTCCTTACTGAACTGAAAGAATGAACTAAGTAGGTTGCCTGCCAAATCAATATTTAGATATCTGAATAGACATAAATTGGTCAAAAACAGGTAAAATTCACTTTTTTTCTGCCCAAGAATAAGCAATGTTGCGTCTGTAACTGAATGAAATCTAACTCTTTTAGTCGTGCGTAATGGCCTGTGCGTAAAAGACACGCGACTGCTTTGAAATATGACAAGATGCATAACTAGTCTCGTTTTAAAATAACAATTAAACTTTTATGCAACGTTGCCTAATATAGCCTAGTAAGAAAACATTCAATGCAAGCAACATCGCCAGCCCGCGCAAATCAAAGGCTTTCTCACCTTTCTTGAACTCCTCCAGCATAGCGTCGAGTTTAGTGTCGTTGAAGACGAAATGTAAGGTATGGCTGTAGAACTTGGTTATCGTCTTCAGCGGGGTGCAGTCGTCGGGATCCACAAACGCAAGGTCCTTGATGAACAGCAGGTCCACGATGTTGGACCTGTCGCCCTCGAACACCGGAATGCGCGTGTAGCCGCTCTCCATGATCTCGCTCATGGTGTTGAAATCGAGCGTGGCGTCGCCGGCGATCATGAAGCAATCGCGCAACGGGGTCATGACATCTTCCACGGTCTTAGTCCTGAGCTCCAGCGCGCCCTGAATGATGTTCAACTCCTCTTTCACCAAGTCATTATAGGGATCCGTCACCCTCAACATCTCCAAGAGCTTCTCTCGGTTGTACACCGTGCCAATCTCCTGTCCGAGGAGATAGTCGAGCAGTTTACTTACCGGATAGGACGCGGGGAAAGTGAGCAGCATGAAGAATTTGGTCAAGAAGATTGTATTCGCTCCCACAGCAAGACCGTGTCGTGAACATATCGCTTGAGGCACAATCTCTCCAAATATGACGATGCCGATGGTGGACATCACTACAGCTATCAATCCAGAACCGGCGATATCATCCAACAGGATGGTCAAGGTGGTGTTGACCAGAACATTCCCCAGAAGAAGCGAGCAAAGCAGGTAGTTTCCTTGGCTCCTGACGGGCTCGATCTTCCTGGCGTAATTCTTCTCCTTCTCCGTCCCGCAGTTCTGGACGATCTGCAGCTCCATGGGATCCAGCGCCATCAGACCCAAGTTCAAGCCGCTGAACATGCCCGAGAGGCAGAGCAACATGGAAATGAAGATGACCTGGAGCCAGAAAGGGAGCAGGAACTTCTTCTCCTCCACCACGATCACTTTGGTGTCCTCTCCATCGTGATAGATCCACGTGTGCTCCGTCCACGGGTCGTGCGCGCCAGCCACGGCAGGTGTGGAAGTGGCGATGCACAGGTAGTACGCTTTGCTCCTCTCAGTCTTTCGCAGAGGCTTGACCTCGATCTCCACGATGCCAGACGTCTTGCGGTTTAGAATGATGTTGGGCAGGATGAGGATATCCGAGGTCCTGATGCCACAGGGGTGCAAGCCCGACGTGTCCTCCTGACTCTTGTTGTCCCCCGAGGAGCTGTCGATGGTGCCAATAACTCGGCTCCTCTCGTGCTCCGTGAAGGCAATTTTGGACCACGTCTCGTTGTTGATGTTTTGCCCGTACACCCTCAATCTCACCCGAGACCTCTCGCTGACCCGCAGATAGCCCCTGTCCATGAAGGAAATGTCGTCCGTGTCCTCCAGTCTCAGCCCGATGATGACCGTCTCCTCTCCCCCTCCTTCCTTGCCACTTGTGGGAGTAATTAAATAACTGCTTGCAGTTAAGAAAATCAGCGCAAAGGCTCGGACCCGGCCAAGTGACGCCATTTTTTGAGGGGGTACTGGAACCGACGGTTCTGCCATGTTGATAATGGACAGCCTCTTGAATGAAAGGGCTTTTAAAAATCAGAGCCAATCCGGCTTCATGTCCGCTGCGCGTCGCCTTGACTTGTGCATCAGGTCTCGCTGAGTCCCGCTACGCGGCTGAAACTGATCACACTCCAGCTAGAGCAGCGCGAACTCGTGCCTCCGCTGATGTCTCGGTGACAGGCGAGCGGAGCAGCCAATCCAGAGGCACAGCTGGGCGGGGGGCGGGGCTTGCGCCCCCGGAAAAGCCAATGAGCTCCGTAAATAGTCGCACTTAACGCAAAATGCGCGCAAACAGAAGTTTCCTCGTGACTGTTTTTGGTGTTTTGAGAGGGATCTTTGCTGACAGCATCTTTGAATAGTGCCAAGATACAATCACGAAATGTAGTAAATAACTAACAAGATTCTAGAGTGTTTCTTCAACAGCGTAGGGACGACCTGTGGACTTCTGGAAAATCATATTAAATCACGCTTTTCACTAGTTTCTTTAATTGGTCTACTTACAATGTACAAAAGTGGATACAAGCATCTTAGGAGCATTCTTGTGTCTGCATGTGTCCGATAGCACTCTATGGTGCAAATGACACTGTGGAATTTAAACATTATTTAAAAAAAAAAAAAAGGACGATATCATAATGACATCATATGACAAAGGCATGATAAAAGGTTAACATGACCTCCATATACTGTAACAAGTAGAAAAAAAGATCTTTATCAACCCGAGTCATAAAAGTGCTCATAGTTGAATACACACCCAGAAACTCAGCCCTCATGCAGTCATCCTAAATAAATGAACAACGCTATACATGCCGCTGAACATGCCCGAGAGGCAGAGCAACATGGAAATGAAGATGACCTGGAGCCAGAAAGGGAGCAGGAACTTCTTCTCCTCCACCACGATCACTTTGGTGTCCTCTCCATCGTGATAGATCCACGTGTGCTCCGTCCACGGGTCGTGCGCGCCCGCCGCAGCAGGTGTGGATGTGGCGATGCACAGGTAGTACGCTTTGCTCCTCTCAGTCTTTCGCAGAGGCTTGACCTCGATCTCCACGATGCCAGACGTCTTGCGGTTTAGAATGATGTTGGGCAGGATGAGGATATCCGAGGTCCTGATGCCACAGGGGTGCAAGCCCGACGTGTCCTCCTGACTCTTGTTGTCCCCCGAGGAGCTGTCGATGGTGCCAATAACTCGGCTCCTCTCGTGCTCCGTGAAGGCAATTTTGGACCACGTCTCGTTGTTGATGTTTTGCCCGTACACCCTCAATCTCACCCGAGACCTCTCGCTGACCCGCAGATAGCCCCTGTCCATGAAGGAAATGTCGTCCGTGTCCTCCAGTCTCAGCCCGATGATGACCGTCTCCTCTCCCCCTCCTTCCTTGCCACTTGTGGGAGTAATTAAATAACTGCTTGCAGTTAAGAAAATCAGCGCAAAGGCTCGGACCCGGCCAAGTGACGCCATTTTTTGAGGGGGTACTGGAACCGACGGTTCTGCCATGTTGATAATGGACAGCCTCTTGAATGAAAGGGCTTTTAAAAATCAGAGCCAATCCGGCTTCATGTCCGCTGCGCGTCGCCTTGACTTGTGCATCAGGTCTCGCTGAGTCCCGCTACGCGGCTGAAACTGATCACACTCCAGCTAGAGCAGCGCGAACTCGTGCCTCCGCTGATGTCTCGGTGACAGGCGAGCGGAGCAGCCAATCCAGAGGCACAGCTGGGCGGGGGGCGGGGCTTGCGCCCCCGGAAAAGCCAATGAGCTCCGTAAATAGTCGCACTTAACGCAAAATGCGCGCAAACAGAAGTTTCCTCGTGACTGTTTTTGGTGTTTTGAGAGGGATCTTTGCTGACAGCATCTTTGAATAGTGCCAAGATACAATCACGAAATGTAGTAAATAACTAACAAGATTCTAGAGTGTTTCTTCAACAGCGTAGGGACGACCTGTGGACTTCTGGAAAATCATATTAAATCACGCTTTTCACTAGTTTCTTTAATTGGTCTACTTACAATGTACAAAAGTGGATACAAGCATCTTAGGAGCATTCTTGTGTCTGCATGTGTCCGATAGCACTCTATGGTGCAAATGACACTGTGGAATTTAAACATTATTTAAAAAAAAAAAAAAGGACGATATCATAATGACATCATATGACAAAGGCATGATAAAAGGTTAACATGACCTCCATATACTGTAACAAGTAGAAAAAAAGATCTTTATCAACCCGAGTCATAAAAGTGCTCATAGTTGAATACACACCCAGAAACTCAGCCCTCATGCAGTCATCCTAAATAAATGAACAACGCTATACATTTATTGTGACTACACAAAAACTTATATTGTAACTATGTACCTTACATGGATAAGGCAGGGATTAAAGGAATCTTAAGAAACGCAAGACGTGCAGAACCAATGAAAGGATGTAAAAATAATCGTGGAGTCAGATCTCCATATAGTGAACATTTGATCATTATCAGGGATCAGAGATCAGTCCAGACCAAAGGAACATTGACTGATCATGAATTATATTTCACAATCCTACAATCTTCACAGGCAGTGAAAATTCACGTTCAGTAAATTAGAGAGAGTAAATAAATCACTTTTTACTGGTATTCTGTAGAAGTTTCCGTAAGTTCCTCAAATTCTGCTCTTTAAAAAAAAAAAAAAAAAAAGCCCTGTTGTGAAAGCTTAAGGGAATACATTTACCAGATATGAGTTTGCAGGAGGGAGAGGAGGATCAGAACACTTTCAAGTTTATGGCCCCTCACACCACCCCTGCTTGAGCCATTAGACCATCCTATCTCAAAGCAGGGCCCCTAGAGGTGTGCAAGAATGTGTTTCAGTGTGTCTACGTGTGAGAAAGAAGATGTAGAGGAATGAAAACCATGGTGTGATCGTCATAAAGTGGGTGAGTCTGACAGAGGTGAGAAAAACTGTACAAACTTATAATAAAAGGTTAATCCCATTCCACAGCTAGAGAGTTTAATGCTGTTTCGAGACATGGAAACAATGATGGAAAAATCAGCTTTATGAAGCAGGGGGGTACTTTGAATATGAATTCAAATGCATTTTTAAATTATAGGCATTATTTAAAAAAAATTACCTGGAGAATGTAATGTAGAATGTAGAGAGGCACAGAAACACTGCAGTCAACAGAATGTGTTTTAGCTGAAATGCCTATTAAGAAAGGTCCAGGCCCCCATAAAGGTAAAACTAACAACAGAGAATTCTTGAGAACTGCACATGTTCCAAAATAAATTCTGGGTGGCCACTGACATAAGTTACAAAAACTAATGGTAATCTTTGCAAATACAATAAACCTCAAGCTTTCTAGGCACTTGATCAAACCAAAGCTCTCAAATGCCTTTTATATCTTCCATTAAAGTTTTTCCACCCCAAGCAGCATGACATGGAGCCTTATACAGTTGGTGGATGATTTTGGCAAAGCATTCCTGTTGTGAAAGCTTAAGGGATAGGGCTAGATTACATTTTATAAAAGGTGATTTGCATGTCAGTATCATTAAATGATTTATTTAAATGTATATCACAGCTGATAGTAATACCCAGGCAGTCAGCTAAAAAAAACATTTTTATTACAGCAATGGAAAAAGTTATTTAATTACAAAAGTTCGATAAACCATATGTGTTTTCAGTTAACTTGGCAATACAATAAAGATTACAATAAAGATTAAACCTGGCAGGTGAATGCTTTAGATTATGCAACTATATAGACCTGTGTGAGGTACTGGTCAATGCTATACATTTATCAGTATGATTACAGATGTATTTAAAACGTTACAAGATTGATTGATTTCTTCTTGTTTTTCTTTGTGTTGCCTTTCACAAAATTATAATTAATACTATATTACAGTATAGAGTAATATTAAATTTTTGACACAATCACGGTCACAATTAACAACAAATGTGTTCTTTTCGAGTCAAAATCAAACAATACTGCTTTGAAATTTGCTGGGATTTACTGGCAGCATGATTGCTGGTCTCCACAGCACTCCCCAGTGGAAGCAGTTACACTTGCACTGCCCAACTGCTGGACCAGCTCAAAGGGATCCACTGACACTGCCTGGAGAGAGAAGATTCGCAGTGGTTCAAAGTGTAGTATATTCATAATTTACATCATTTTGGTATTCACTGACACTGATTTATTATGCAGGTGCACCCTATTACCTCATAGGTATGGTAAAATTCGTTGCATCCAGGAACTGCATAAAATTATGGAATCAAATCTTACAGGCAGATCTCTTTGATCAACACAACCTGAGTTGTCTATAACAAGGGTTTTCAAACAATAATGTGTGTGTGGATTACACTGCCTGCCCAAAAAAGTTGCCATCTGGATTTAAATAAGCAAATATATAAGATTTTAAGGTTTAATCATTATTGCAGTGATTTATGTTTTTTTGCATGTTGTATGTTTAACACTAACTGATGCAGTGTGTAGCTTTTTATTTCTCAAAAAAGCATATGGGAAGATGTACCCATGTAACAATGGCAGGAGTCATCAGGCTCAATTTGTGAAAGATTGGCCACCAAAGAGGCCTGACCTAAACCCCACTGAAAGTTTTTGGGATGTGCTGGAGTCGACTTTACACTGCCTGTCCAAAAAAAAAAGTTGCACACACAAATATTTTGTTGGACTGCCTTTAACTTAGATTTTATTGTGCATTCGTTGTGGTATAGTTTCAACAACGTCATGCTGTAACACAGCATTTATTTCCATCAAGTGTTGGATTAATTTTTGGCTGCGTTCTTGACAATGGGAGAGTCAAACCACTCTCTAAAACGTGGACTCCAGCACAACCTAAAGACTTTCAATATGGGTTAAGCTGAGGACTCTGTGGTGGCCAATTTATTCAAGAAAACAATTCCTCAAGCTCATCGAATCACTTCATAAATGAAGCCTGGTGAATCTTGGCATTGTTGTCTTAGAATATGTACATGAGTATGTCTTCCAATATGGTTGTTTAACATCTATGCACTGCATTAGGTAGGGTTAAAAGAATTGTTGCTAAACATATAACATGTCAGAAACAAGTTAATCACTACAATAATGATCCAATCCTTAACTCTTCAGTATTTGCTTATTTAAATCCCGATG